TTTTTTTAATTATACATATACACATTATACAGTTATTGCATAGGGTATTTACATATGTAACTGCATAATTGCACTGGGTATCAAATATAGAGAAACATGTTATTGCAATGAGTATTAAATAGTAATTGCTCATTATACATTGCATAAGCCATTGTAGTGTCGCATTGTATGGTCTGTGGCAGCATGCTGTCATATAAATATAAATTACATGAATTCCAAGCTTTTCATTTGTTATTATGTTAGAAATCTAACTGGATGTTACTGGTGTTTTATCTGATAGGGTGAGAATGGTTTTTTTTTGTGGAATCAAGAAGTGAAAAATAAAAATAAGAGGCGCTAAAAATCTGAAAGGTGGTGCTGTGCATTTGTTTTCAGCCCTTTTAGAATAGTCCTTTTGGTTATGTCTCTACCAGTTTAGCTTCATCCATTTTCACTTCCCGACAGGTTGTCCCGCAGCATGATGCCGCCACCATCAGGTTTTGGTTTGTGTGTGATTTTCTTTGAGAAGTGTGTTTCTTTTGCAACTTGTGATTGATTGAACAGCTGTCCTGTCTAAAAAAAACTGTAGATTATTGTAGCTCCTTCAAATTTGGCCAATTTTCTAATTAATGCTATGCTAAATATCTCTGTTTTATACCTGTTTAAGAAAAAGGAATTAGAATGCTAGTGGCTGGGTACAAACTGGGGGGTTATTAGTACAATGTGCAAAATAATCTGAAGTTGTTCCTCTTTTGCAAACCTACATTTGTAGAAATCCTAAGTAAAAACTGTCCGGGCTTTCATTCCTTAAATTCATATAAAGAGTATATATTCTGCATGTAAGACTGTAAGGCAGGGAGGAGCACTGGTCATCTTATTTATAGCAACAATGTGGCCTCGATTGAACAGATTTTCTTCTGTGGAAACAGTTAGCAGCTGGTGCTGAAGCTTCACAGAGAGGTAAGCCCTGAAAGCCGACCTCTTATTAGCCCTCCTTCGGTCCCTGCAGACTCCTGCAGCCATGGGGGAGGAGAGCCGCCTGTCTCATCAGCTCCAGAGTGTGGAGAGGAGCATGGTGTTCCTCAGACAGGAGCACCTCACTTTGCTTCACGGCCTGCACCTGGAGATCCTCTCCCTGCAGAAACGCTGCTCAGGTGAGGGAGGTATAAAGCTTCTTATATTACTTTACATCTTCAGGAATATCCAAAGTTGTTTGATCTGGAACATTTCTTCCACAAACAGGTCTTACCTTTTATTATAAGATATTTAAAATCTTCAGTTGTATTTATTTTGGATTAGATTTAGGTATTAATTTTAAATGTACACCTCTATGTTACAATATCATTTATTATAACACTTTACCTATAAATGTGTGTGTTTGAGTAGTATATATTTATGAATTACTAATTTGCATCAAAACTATATATATATATATATATAGTATATTTGCCTATTAGGTCAAAGAGAACAATGAACATGCTTATGAATACAGAATAGATTTACTGACATGATTTGGGGAAATGTTGTAATTCTAATAGTTAATCTTTTCTTTATCATATATTCCACTCCATCTAAGTCATGGCTGTCATGACATGATCTCAAGTGTGATTTATGCGGTAATGGCCCAAATTATTCCTTCCCTTTCTAAAAGTTTTTTTTCATTGAAAATATAAGGGGAACTCCCTAAGAATAACACATCAATTTATGTAAAAAATAAGAGTCGATTAAAGGTGTAGTCACCCTAAATCAACATTTTTATTCTAATAAATGTTTAAATAGATGGGTAGTTTTTTCCAAAATGCCCTAGGCAATGTACTGCATATTTGTTGATAAAAGTTTATAAAAACAATAGTTAATCCATCCAAATTGGATAAAGCAAAACTGCATCTTCTGTCCATTCTCTTAAAATTATATGACATTTGTTTTATGTATGTTAGTCAAATGAGATAACAAATGATATAAAGCGGATTGCAGAAAAAAATATTAATTTTGTGTCATGATTCAGGACAGAAGGACCCAGTATTCAGAGAGAGAGAGAGACAGTGTAATTACTTCAAAAACATCCAGATCTGTTGATCTGCAGTGGCTACGGCTTCTAGGGCAGTGACCTCTGCAGGAGAGAAACACAGGTTAGTGACCAAGACAGTCTGAGGGAGGATGATTATGAAAGCGTGAGTCACTAACCTGGTTAAACAGTTCAGTCCATCACCAGGAAACAATGTAGAATCCAGCCGGTGGACCGCCAGCAAGATGCAGTGGCCGCCACCCAGAGTGTCCTAGATGCTGCAGCCCAGGAGAACATGCAGAGTTCAAAGCCAGGTCAGGCAAACAGATCAGAAGAGGAAGGATCAGAGGTCCAGGAGTCCAAAGACAGTTCAGGCAAACCGTTCAGACAGAAACAGGCAGGCTCAGTTGTTCAGAGGCAGAACGGGTCAGGATCAGGTAATCAGAAAGTCACAGATAGCTAGAAAACTTTCACACTGGCCTCGAATAATCTCACACGATGGATAGAAACAGGCAGCTTAAATAGCAAACTGGAACAGGTGAATCTGATGAACGACAATAAGCACTGGAGAGAGCTAAGCAGATAGGAGAAGATCCTACCTGACAGGACAAGATCATGTCATTTTGAAGATACTAAAATGTGTAAAAATAATTACAAAATATCATATTTGGGTAGAAGTAAGGCTCTGGAGTGTATTTAAAGATGAACTTTTAGTTTGTTTTTTGTTAGGTTGTTTTTTTGTAAATGTTTTTATTTACATTTCAATAGAAAAAAATTGCATGTCAAAGATTTTGTTTTCCTTTTTCAAAATTTAGCAAACAAACACTGTAGGCTGTGTTTGATAGCAAAACAGTTTTTTAGCAAACCACTTAGTTTTTGGTGTTAAGTGTTGTTGTATCTTTGTGATTAAAATAGAAAAAAAAAAAACAATCCGTCTATTGTCCCACAATGGTGAAATTCTGGTAAGCTGTGGAATGCCTTTTTTTCCATCACCCTAATCTTTGGCTTCCTTCACAGATTCTCAATCTGAATAATCAGTAAAAAAAAAAAAAATGTTGGTAGAAATACAGGATCAGTTTAAATCTATACCTCATAGAACTATCAGTAATATTGGGCTTAACTGTAATGCTTTGCCCGAACATAAATTATGATTTTATTTCAGATACAGTAGATAGCTTAGTTGAGATTTAATATTTTTAACACATTTTAGCAATTAGAAAGGTTCTTTGTTTGTTTTTATGTTTGTCCTTAAACATAATACTAAAGCTTAGTATTTTATTTATTGGAATGATCTCAGCCTCCAGTCAAGGATTTAGTCTGTTTATCCACTTTAAGTCTTCCTTGTATTATCTTCTTAGCTGCTACAGCTCTTTGTTAATCAAGATGGAGTCATTCATTAATCAGGATTTGGTCAACAGACATAAAGTCCATTTGCACTTAAATAAAACAGAACTAATTTTAATACCTTATCATATGGCTTCTAAATCTATCTATCTGAAAAAGACAGCTATTGTTTAGTGTGTCCACATCATCATGAGTCAAACTCAGATAATGGCTCCACGATGACATCATGCTGTTTTCCTGTTAGGGGAGTAATGGATTTCTCTCTCAACTCACCATGCTTCCATTTCCATCTGGTTCACATTTTTGGATTTTCTTTTAAACATTTCTTTTTCTCCACTGTATGTCACCCAATGGGCAGACAACCCGGTACATCCCAAAGAAAGATGTCTGCAGATGGGATGATTGTTTGTCCATTAATCGCATAGCTCTAGTAATCCATATAAAAGGATTGCAGTGCACAGATATGGGGGGGAGGGGTCTGTGAGCAGAAGATGGAGGTAGAGACGAATGGCTTGGTGCCAGGTTGACCAGTTGTGCTACAAACGGCCCCCTTCATCACTCTATGGCTCCACTCTCTCACATCTGGTCAGCTCAGCTTTAATGGGTGGTGAAAAAAATCTAAAAAAAAAAAAAAACAAAACCACTGTTCCTTTTCCTTTTGTCTCTTAGTCTTCATGTGGTATTCTAATGTAAATACCGAAAATTTCATAGCTTGTTTAAAGATTTAAAAGCAAACCCATGCCGAAGTGTTCTATAAGAAAATAGTGTTTAAACAAACACTATATGAAAATAGACCTCATAAAAACTCTTGAAATATCTGGAAAGCTCCAGAGCTCAGTCTCTCGAGATAGCAGAGAGCTGGTTTCGATGCTTTGTACTTGTGACAGTATAATGACAATTGTAGTAGGGGAAAAAATGGTTGGATTAGTGCAATTCAGGACCATATTGATCTGGAAACTCTGACTGTTTATCAAATTGTCAACCTTCGCTCCTGCAGGTTAAAGTCTAAAAGTGTGCAGAATGTGTGAGGTCTGCAGAGATTTTAGCTGCCCTTTCCTGACCCTAGACCTACACAAGTCCTGGGTGGAGGAGGTTCGGCCCTCATCTTTCTCTCTGCAGACCTGGTTGGTCGTTGATGGTAGCTTAAAGACAATTTCTTTATCAGAAAATGAAAAACAACTCATCGTCTCAAAAGCACATCTTGACAAAGCCTTCATTGGGAGGTATTTTCTTATTCTAAACATTATCCTAAATCTTTTACTTTTTAAGTTCCTGGGTAATTTAATGATACTAATTTTACCAAAGTGAAATAACCCTAAAGCGATAAAGTTAGTGTTTACAGATGGGACGGTGTTTTTAGTCAGCCCACTAAAGTGCTGCCTTGAAGGTTGCTGCAAGGTGGATCGGAGCAGATTGTTGTGAACATCAGCTGTGTCTTTGTACTGCTGACCTTTTATTGCTTCCTGAAATGTCCTCATCAGCATACAGGCCTCCGTGCTGCTTTCTCCTTCAGCTGTACAGGCCAATTCCCCTTTTTTGAATTATTTTTTTTTCTTCCTCTCTATAGTTTATTGTGCATGTCATTGGATTCGTCCTTCAGGATGTCTTTCCAGCATTCAAAGATGAATCGATGAAATAGAAAACCTCTAATGCTCTGTTATGGGTTGCAGAAGATAAGGCTGCCCTATAAAATGTTACTGGATGTTGCAGTGAGCTGAATGGTCTGTTTTCAGTCCTCGCAATCAGCAAGCAGCTAATGAATTGGCTGCATAAATGCCTTGTGTTGATGGTGAGGGAGAGTAACGAGGAATACAGAGCTTCTGAGGTTATTAAACAGCCCTCATTATTAAACCAGAGATTAGGAAGATATCTGTTCTGTAGCGGTTCGGTATTCCGAATATCACAGCCCTTTTGTTTTTTTACTGCTGTGCCATCATTATTCCTCCCCTCTGTCTCTGTTCAGCTGCATGTGTGGGCGTGTTGTTGCAACTGAAGACAGGGGGGCATGAGGACAGAAAAAGCTGGGGATAGCTTTTTTTGCCATTTGATACAAGAAAATAACCTACAAGTTTTATTTTTAAGTATTTATTAAAACACTTATATTTACTTGTTTCTTTTAAAAATATTGATTTTACTTTAAGTAAATGTACAAAAAAATTTAAGAAAAATTGGCTTTTCTGGTTTCCAGAAAATGAAAAAATCCCCATCTCAGGGTTGAACTGAAGTGTGTGATACATTTGCTGACTGAGTGGATGTCTTATGAAGGACCAGGTCCTTCATAATGTCTTTGCTGACACTCCGAATCACCACTGGATGATTGACAGGCCAGACACAGACAGCGATCCTCCCACTACGTCTTTCTTCAATCCCTCCTTGCTTAAAAATAACAATTAATAACTGAGGACCACTAACACATCTGTCTGATGCACTATACTTTAAAAACATGAGTCTTATTTTAGTACATATATTTCTACTTAACCTTACAATGTACGTATTTGCACCCCTGACTTAGCTAAAAGGAGGATAAAACATCCATCCCTGATGGCTTAATGTTATAAACCTGTCATGTTCAAAGATTTTTGAAATTCAATATAAGCATTTATACATTTCTATAAACATTCAAGCTTTAGTAAATATATTGCTCTCTGCTCCAATAAAAACTAAATGGACAAACTTTGTTTTTTTAAGTTTTCCAATAAAAGTTTTTTTTTTATTTTCATTGTCTGTTATTTAAATTGGCTTATGTGTAAATTTTCCTACAGTTCCTACAGTTTATTATGTGCAGTCTGCCTCACTAGTCTTTATTTTACTTTACTTTATTTTCTTGTATACATGAATAACTTTGGTTTGCCGTGTGTATTATAAAGGCTTTAAATATACACTTTCTTGTGAAAAAAAAGATTTCTGATTTCTTTTCAATATTCTGTTTTCGACCTGACGGCGTCCTGATACCGATTATTCTTTAACTACTATGCATTTGTTCTACTTTCTGGATGAATTGAAGTGTTTTCTGTAAAATAAAGCGTATCCCGTATTAACTATCAACTCTCTGCCTCCCAACCATGACATGAACTCTTGGGATTTGTTTAAAAGCAAAACAACCCAAATATTTCTCTGAATAGAGGGTAGTGTCATTTGACTTCCATGCCTTGTAATTGTGACTGTTCTTAACATCATTTAAAATCCTTGTTCTTCTCATCATGGTCGCACATGAAGAAGTATTTTTATTGAGAGGGGAAATGTCTTCAGAAACAAAAGAAAAAGTTAATATATCCCGTCAACACTTTACTATACGGCTTTTTATTAGTATTGCTAATAATTGGTTAACTGTTTTGTGTGGAACATGAACTAACTGGAAAGAGATTGGATCTTTAATTTCAGGCCAGGTTATCACTGATCTGAGCTTATCGGCTTAAAAATCACCCGCTCCCATTCACTAGGGATCAATCCTCCTGAATGGGAACTCTTTCCCGCTAATTAGACAAAACCCCTGGTTTAGTTTCACCATCAGTGAAGAATTTACCTTGTGGTGATTGAGATGATCCCAAATCATGTCAGTAAATTTCTCCAGCTAATCTTTTAGTTTATCGCCTCCTTCTACAAGGCTTGTTTAAATAACAGCTTTATGTTGGGAAAAAACGTAATTGCTTTAGGGATAATCCCAGTGTGTGTAACAGGGAGTACAGCCTAATGTGGTTTTTGCTGTTTCTTCTACCTATTCTATCATGGTTTTTCTTTCATTCACATTCATTTTAAGAGCTGCTTAGTGGAGCAGTGGGTAGCACTGCCGCCTTGCAGCAAGAAGATATGGGTATGATTTCTAGCCTGTCTCTTTCTTCATGGGATTTGCATGTTCTCCCTGAGCATACATGGGTTCTCTCCGGGTACTCTGGTTTCCTCCCACAGTCCAAAAACATGATGGTTAGGTTAATTGTTTTCTCTAAATTGTCCTTAGATGTGAGCGTATGCATGATTGGTTGTTTGTCCTGTTTGTCTCTGTGTTGCCCTGCAATGGACCGGTGACCTGTCCAGGGTGTACCCCGCCTCTCACCCAGACAGCTGGAGATCGGCACCAGCAGCCCTCGCGACCCCAGTAGGGATAAGCGAGACAGAAAATGGACATTCTTTTTAATGAAAAAGGATAGCTGTGAATAGGAACAGTGCAAAGACTTTTCAATAGACTATTTGTTTTTGACAGCTCATACAATTCGTTGCTCCTCTGATTTTGAAGGTTTCACTTGTTGTGGATAAAATAGAGATTTCCTATGAATATACTATAAACTTTAATGGGCACATGGGAGGTTAACCAACGAGCATAAACAGGATAACTAAAATGCAATATAATTTGTCTCTATAATGCTTGTTTTTCTTCTTGTTTCAGAGCTGACCAGTGAGCTGAAGTTAAAGCCACCAGGGAGGAACCAGATAGGTATGCAGTCTGGAGAAAGTCTGTTTAAATTCCCCATTTAGGATTTTTCTTTAAAGAGGGTATGACTGCTTCAGACCATAATCCAGTCCAGTTTTTAGGTGTTAGAGATGCCTTTTATATCTTTATCCCTCTTTTTCCTGCATCTGCAAAGGAAAACTTCTGACAAAGCATTCACAGGCCACACATGATTTATTAATTCCATCATATGTGCAGTTCTGCAGTGTGAGAGCTCCTACAACAGCTCTGCCAGGGTGAGAGATCCACAGACAGCTGGAGATGCCACACGCTCCAACAGCTTCACTTTTATGGCTGATGTCCAGCTGCGGCTGCAGAGAAAGGCTCCATTTTGTCACATCGAGTTTAGACACAAGAGGAGTCAAAAGGCGACAGAGTGTGGCTGCTTGGAGTAACAAGGAGGTTTTTGCTTGGCTGAGTTACCCAGTCATTAGATTTCTTTTTTTTCCAGGACAGGTTAACCCCCGATCCATCAATTCAGCATGGCTTTACAAATTGATCCGCTTCCTTTTTTCCTCTTCTGCTCCAGTTTCTACTGGAGGTCCCAGTGGGAGTTTCTGCTTACTCTGCTCAGATGTAGGGCCTGGACAAGAGAGAGGAAAAAATGGGAGGAGAGAGGTAACATGAGGTGGAATAGGGGAAGGATGAGGAGTTAGGATATGGTCTGTGACAGATGCAGTGAGTATGAGAGATGGGAGGATAATATTACAGCCATTTTAAGGAGAAAATACTTCCTTTCCATTTGCTGGGAATGAGGAATAAGATCATGTTAAAAATACTTATTATTATTACCATTTTATTGAATTATTTGAATCTAACCTCAAGTGTGGTGAACCTCAACAAATCACTGCTTATTATGCTCAGATCATGTTTAGCAGTTTGGAAAGGGATTTATTTATTTTTATAAAGTTACTATTTTTTTATAAGTTATCCTCTGCAGACCTCATTTGTTTCAAATGAGCTTAGAGTTTTTGATTCTGTATACTGTCTAACATGATATCAATAATCAAACAGAGTGGTGGTAGTATCATGGTGTGCAATGTAGAACACACTACCTGCCATTCTAAATGCATGATCCCAGCTGTCAGGAAGCAATTACCTTGTTCACATAAGGAAGGATTTAGATTTTTTTATTTTTTTTTCTACAGAAAATATTTAATTACAAAAAAGCCCTAATCCTCAAATGGAGTGTTTCACATTTCAGGTACATTATGCAGCCTAATAAAAGGCAAATTTATCATCAGTCATGAGAAAACCCTAGATACCTTTAACAGATGGTTTGGTTTATTTTTCTCAGATCTGTAGGAACGCTCTACCCTCCAGTGAGGTCAAAATAGGTGTGCTTATGGGTTTACATGTAACCGTATACATTTTTTGTCCTCTATCAAAAGGAAAAACCATAGAATGATCATTAAATGTGAAAGAAAAAGTTGAAAGACAGATAAATTTAACTCTAAATCAATAACCTTTGTTTTCTAAACGTCCTTATTGAATTTGGGAATTTTGATTTTTGAGGTCAGAGTCAGATTCTGAATATAATCCTCCTCTAAAAGCTGCATGTAACCTCACTGACTCAGAGCTTTTCGCCTGAAGCTCCCTGCCTTTTGTGACTAAAGAGCCTAAAGTTGTCTGCAGAAGCTAAAAAGTGGCTAGAAATGAAGCAACATCCATGTACATTCGTCTAACACTGTGGTTCTACAAGGAATGATACCTTAACTCTGCTTATATGAGGACAAGAAACCTTTTATTAAAGGTTTAACTGGCAGGATACAACCAGTTGGCTGTGCTTTGCAGTTTCTTAATATTTAAGGTGTAGCCTAACAAATTGGAAAGCTAGTGGTGAAATTATACACATACAGAAAAAATAGATAAAGTATTCAATAATTAGGACTGAGTCCAGCCCTGCACCCAATTAGAAATCTGTTGCAATATTTCCGAATTTAAGTTATGTTCACGGATTATAATTCCAATCTCTATGTGGTGGGAATATTTTGCGAAGAAGAATGTGCATAAAACATCTAGTATATAGTTGTGCAAAGCTGGTAGAACTTTACCTCAATCATCTGCATTTCAAAGTGCAGTAAAAGGAGCACAAGTGATGCTCTAAGTTATTCCAAAACACACTGAAGTCTGGGCTTGTAATAATAGGAGAAATAGGTAACCTATTATGAAAATCTTATGCAATAGACCAACACAAAGTATACATTAACTGTAAGCATATAAACAAAGCATATAAAAAAAAAAATATTTATTGTAAAAGGATAAATTCTCTGTTGTTTGTTTTTAATCGATGGTTCTGCTTTCTTTCTGTGACAGAGTTACTAGAGGAAGAGGAGATGCTGGAGGCCCGCTGTAAGGAGCTGGAAACCCGTCTGGAAGAACAGGAGTACACTCTGGGAGAGTTTCGAAAGGAGCTGGTTCACAAAGGGACCTTGGTGGGAGCCCTCAGGGCCAATCTCAAGGAAAAGGAGCGTCACTTTCTGGAAGAGCTGAAACGCCGCAGCCACTGCTCCACCGTCCTGAACACGGAGCTTCAGAAGCAAACTGAGGCAGCAGCATACCTCTCCTTCCAGCTGCATGCAGCCAAACAGAAGCTGCATCACCAGAGGATGCAGCAGAGGCAGGGACTTCTCGCCAGAGCAAACAATCAGGGGGCCCAGCAGGAAGCTGAGCAGAACTCCCCCCTCTCTGGCGCCTCTCCATCCTCTCCTGTGGTCAAACCCAAACGTAAGAGTGTCAGGGCATCTTCCAGGGTAGAGCGGGCTCGGGAGTGTGTCCCCATAGAGAAAGTGCTGGGCCCCGCTGAGCCCACAGCCATGCCGGACCCAGCGCTCTTCCTGCAGCCCCGCAGGCACAGAGCCTGCTCCAGACACACTGTGGCACAAAGACAGCCTCCTCTGGGCATGGAGAGAGAAGACCAGGAGGAAGGAGGTGGGGAGGGGCCTGTGGAGGTCCTGGAAGAAACACCCAGATTAATGTCCTCAGCAGCAGCACCCCCTGCTGCTCAGACCAACGCAGATTAGAGTCTGAGCATTCCTGCTTTTAACTACCGAGTCATCCTTATATGTTATCTTCCATCAGACTGATTAACGCTATCAACTATTGCTCTGTACCCTGACCCAATTACTACTGAGACTGGTTATAGCTGTTTAATTACCTTGGATCTACTGGAAATACTTTTTCTAATATGTACTTTGATATAACCTTAAATAACTTGCATAGCAAACGTCAGTAAGTGTCAGAGGTTAGGTTTGCACTGCTGTTAGATGCTCTCTGTGCCACAGATATTCAGTCTGTGAGGCCGGTGAGTTTGACCTTGGCACAGCTGTGCGTCCCAATCAACCGAGATCTTCCGAGGCCGACCGTAAATCAGGCCGCTCGTCCGAGTGTTTATGTGTCCTCCGACTGAGTTGCAGCTGAAAATACTCAAGTGGGACTAAAATATGTATGAACCGAGTATCAATCCTTCCCTCACAATAAATGAAGCGTACATAAAAAAAAACAAAAAAACTACAGCTTCAAGTTGCTTTATGATTTTAATTGAAATACAGTATTTAGTTCCATCTTAGAACTTGCGAGGTCATTTTAAGAAACTCTGCTAGAACACTGTTTACCTAAAATACCTCAAAGGCCGACGTTTGAAATGGAGACTGTTAATAAACTAATTTTGCAACTGATGCTTCAAAACATTTCAAAATCAAATGTTCTTGAAGGAACATAAATAAATCCTCCTTTGTGGAACTTTTTAATTTGGTGCAATCTTAGAGCTCGTGATACTTATATTTAATTCCCAGGTCCAAAGTTAAAAGATATGCAACTCCAAAAACATAAAAAAAAAAAGCTTAAACGGTCCTAAAAGCTGCTGAATAGTGATGATCTTTGCCATCAAAGGTAGAACCAGTTATAGAAAAGTTTATATCGCTTTTATAGGTTTATAGACAGAGTATTACCTTTAATATGTTTTCCGTTTAGGAGAAATGCTACATCAGTTAATGGAAACCAAACAAACCGGCACCATTGCCAGGAATTTAAAAGCTCTCGGTGGCGAGCCCAGTCTGCATATGATTCGCCACAAAAAAGATTATTAAAAAAAAGTAAATTCTGGCAGCATTCAGGTAGAATCGTTTGCAAGCCAAAAGGTCTACAAATGAAGAAAGTTGAACTCCTATTGTTAACAAAAACACCTTTCTCTGGGAAATACTTTATCTAAATTAAAACCTGAACTCGTGCCTCAGTGCCTGTCTTAACTGATGATCTTCAGGGTTTTCCTTTGGATAGAAGCTTTACAGAACAAGGACACATTCAGCTGCTCCTTGTGACTCGTTGGACCCTGTGTTTTTCTTGGCTATGGGTCAGTTTTCCCCTTCGCCCGTTTCTACCTCCATACCTCCAAACGCTGCCATGTTATCCCAAACTCAGGGGTGCTACTAGAAAAAAAAGCACCATGGCCATAGCTGACTTCATTTGGTCAAACACTCCTTTATGCATCATAACATTATGAATATTATAGTGGTCCCCTTCAGTCAGCCCCTTTATAAACTTTTTAGAGCTGTCCCTGCTCAGTTTCTTTCCATGTTTGCAGCTGCTTACAAACTATTGTTGAGGCATGCTAGATTCATCAAGTCATTTCTATTGCTAAAACAGTACTTTGGTAAATCATAAAAAGATTTAAATCTCATTTCTGTTTATATTTTTTGTGCATTTTATGCTGTAGTTTGCGTTTTTATATATATTATATGCCTAATGCCCTTGAATGTGGTTCTGATTTCTGTTTGGTGTGGTCAAATAGCAAATATAACATATTGATTGTTTATTGGAGTCATAAACAAACTTACTTACAGTTGACGTGAAAAGAGTTCATGACATTAGCTAAAATCATCAGCTATAAGACGTGTTATGAAAAATGTTGTGGTAAACTGCTTCTTTCATATCAGGACAGATGTAAAAAAAATATAATAAAGAAATGAAACGACCTAAAGTATGAAACAGCGAAAGGGTGAAATGACCCTCTTTTTCCTCAGGTGTGGTTTTGTCTGCCCAACTTTTCATTTATCTAAAGCTGGTTGTGTTGGAGTTTCTTTTCAACTCAGGAGAACAAACAGAAGTTGCTTTTGACTTTTTGTCTTTAGGATTTTAAAATTCTGGTCCGCTTGCTTTTGTCTCTTTACTGTTAAAAATCTGCCCAAAGGCAATAAATGTCCAGGAAGACAGGAGTCATCTGAAAAACGAGGAGGTGGTGTCCTTCAGTGTTACAATATTCAATTAAAACTTTGTTTTTCTTTAATCTTATATAAGAAACTTTTTTCTTTTTTTTTTTACTAATGCTCCATAAGTAAGATAACAATCTTGAAAGAAGTGTCCCTTTTCCCAGTAGTTACTGCCTTATAGCATAGGATCAGGCTGGAGACTATATGTTTTTTAACTCAGTTTGGGGTTTATAAATAAAGTTAGACTCTATCTTAATTTCTTATTCCTTAATCCCCTGATAGGATTTCAATTTTTTTCTCAAAGATACAGCAATGTGTTAATATGTTATTAAGTGTTTATATTAATGATTTAGGTTACAGACAAAAAAAGGAAAGACATTTATTTTTTTTGCAATTATCTAAACTTTGGGGTTTGATTTATATTTTTTGTTTGACAATTATTTTTCCTTTTCTTTCACTTACTAAGCAAACAGAAGACTTATTTTGTCTCCTTATGGACTGTATTAAAGTGAGTTTTTGGGAGGAGTATTCTCAGTCGCACTCTGGTTGTTCATTTTTCATTTTCTGGACGTCTATTGCACTAAAAGTAGGACATCTCGACTATAGACTGTTAGATTTCCTTATGGCATCACTATTCATCTACATTTAAAAGTAAATAATCTGTACTTTAGCACAGAGAAATCTCAATACCTCTTAATACCTCTGACTTTTCCTTGAATATTCCTGCAGCAGCAACTCTTCCAAGCCTGGATTGATCATTTTCAACTATTTACAAGATGGTATCATGAATCTCACATCTTAAAAAGCGTGAAAAATATAGAATATTTCATTTATTCCTCTTCATAATATAAAAGTGAACCCAGCAAATGCAATGGCCCAACCATGTCTTATTGTTTCAGTTTTAAGTCGACATCAATGATAAAACCATATTTTTTCTCTTGACTGTATTTGGCTCCATCAAGCCTCTTCTTTAAAATGTTCTCTTGTTTCTTTCTAGCAATAATTCTGTTTGGGACTCAACATTAAATGAAGAAAGGTGTCCCTTTGGCTGAGCATGAGATACTGACTGATTACCGTATATACTGTGTTGGCATCCTACGGTGAAACTGTACTTAAAAATGGAAGAAAATAAAGGATTGTTGAGTGTTTCTCGCACTTTATTGTTGTCAAAAAGGAACTTGTGCCAAATGGCCCAAGAAACTTTTATTTCTCACCAGCTTCCACTAAATCCGACCAAACTCCTCCTTTAAGGCCAGTTTAAAAGAAACGCCTAATATTGTCTAAATGTCAAAATTAAGAGAAAATAATTTTTTTTATAAGACCGCTTCAGAATTTTGCCCGCACTAAGATATATGTGGGTTAAAACATTTGGCAAACCCCACATGAGGATTTCTTAGGTTTATAAGCTTCTGATAGATTAGCTTACAAGTCAAAAGGAGGCAACACCTCAAACTATTCCTTGTGTGTCATCATGGAAAAAAGCAAAGGAAGTCTGACCCCATATATCAGGAAGAGAACCGTAGATCTCCATAGACCTTGTTTTATCATAAATAGAAATTCAGGTACCTGAAGGTACCACGGTCATCAAGGAAACCCTGGCCGAATGTTTAGGTGCATATCACACTGCAATCATATGCTGAAGACAAACTGATAACAACAGGGGAAAAGAAGCTTAATATACACATGTGCGGTAAATATTCACTTATTATAACATATTTGACATACATAATGTACACATATAACACACAACAATAACATATAGACTGTCCTCACACACACACAGACACAACAACCTACAGATCCAATCCATCACCACTTACAAGTACTTCTCAACTATAGCTGTAAATAACCTGTAAATATTTTATCCGCTGTCATTATTTATCCTATATTGTAACCCTGTTAATATATATATATATATATATATAATCTATATCCATATTGGATTTGATGACTCCCTCACCTTCAAACTTTTTATTGATAAACTTGTTAAGAAATTAAAACTTAAACTAGGCTTCTTCTTTCATAATAAGATATGTTTTTCTTTTGAAGTAAAAAAGTGCCCTGTCTCTGCCACTTTTTCATCGGTCTTAGACTATGGTGACCTTTTTTATAAGAATGCAACTTCTTCATGTCTTCGAATGTTGGATTCTGTTTACCATGCTTCATTAAGGTTCATCACAAACTGTAGAGCTATGACATCACTGTGACCTGTACTCTCAGGTGGGATGGCCTTCCCTCTATACAAGAAGGCAGTGTCATTGGTACACTTTTATTCACAAGGCCCTTCTTGGATTACTGCACTCTGACATTTGTACCTTACGTACACAGAAAAGCATGGCTTCTCCTGCCCTGAGATCCAACGATCAGCTGTTGCTCACTGTTCATTTTGCCCACACAGAACGAAGGAAGCAAGCCTTTAGCTACGCAGCTCCTTGTGCGTGGATTTTTTTTTTTACAAAGAAACTGGAAGGTGACTGAGTTTTTATCTTTAAATGCTTTTAAGTTGAAAGTGAAAGAATTTGAAGCCGCCTCAATGAGCTGTAATTGTTTTACTTGATATGTGTTTTTTTTTATGTACCTGTCATTTAATTTAATGTATCTCTGTTTCTTATGTAAATTTGCTGCCTCTTGACCAGGACTCCCTTGAAAAAGAGGTTTTTAATCTCAATGGGATTGTTTTTCCTGGTTAAATAAAATATATATATATATCCTAACTTTTTTGTATAATCTGTATATAGTAATTACAAAAAAGTAAAAAAAAAAAACAATCCACTGGACTTTGTTTCCAAGTTTGAAGACATTTTGCTTCCCATCCAGGAAGTTTTCATCCATCCATCCGGGGTCGGGTCGAAGGGGTAGCAGCTTCAGTAGGGAGGCCCAGACGTCCCTCTCCCCACCCACTTGGGCCATCTCCTCCAGCAGAACCCCAAGGCACGCCCAGGCTTCTTTGTCAGCCTGCAATACCTGTTGGTTCGTTTCAATTTGCATGTTTTCTAAGCCAAAACAAGGCTTTGTTGGGCTATTGTATAAAGCCTTGAACTCAATAATATTTCTGACATTTTGAATTCAAAAAAGCTTCCTGGATGAGAAGCAAGTCTTCAAACATGGAAACAAAGTCCAGTGGATTGTTTTTTTTTTTGTTTGTTTTTTTACCTTTTTTGGAATGATTATGACCTGGATGACTAAGAATCTTCTGTATATAGCTTCCATATTAATTTATCTTATAGCATCTTACAGTTACTCTCTACTCCATACATATTTTCTGCACACATTTAAATATTTATATCCTGTATAGCACTTCTGGATAGATGCAAACTACATTTTGTTGCTGTGTACGTGACAATAAAATTGAATTCTATTCTATGCTTTTCTATTTCACATTCATTTAGATTTATTATTTTAAACATATACAGAATTTAAATAAATTGAGTCACTTGTTATTTTTGGGATTATTATAGCTCAACAAATAAATGTAAACATGACTAAAACCAGAAACAAATTAGACATTTTCATTAGTAAAGTTTGTGTAGGAAGTAATGCTTGGATGTTTCAAAATAAAAGTGAAAAACAGTTCTTATTATCTGCTTAAAAGAGTGTGAACATTTATATGTGTATTTATGGAAAGAATATTACATTTAGCAGTTATCTTGATGTTTTTTCTCTTCTTCATTTATTGGCGGTTCGCAACAAACATTTAGTAGTATTACCACCACTTACAGGTATGTAGTGTGGTTCGTGATGGACTATCTACTTAATAAACAAATATATAATTTCTAAGGAAAAAAAAAAAGGAAAACGAAAAACAACAACAACAAAAAAACTACATATTTATACATAATTTTGTATTCATATCATGCACACGTTCATCCTCTCTATAATCAAATTCTATGGAATAATTTAGTTTTCTTTAAAAATAAAGTTATTGTTTGTATATGTTTACTTCCCAAATTCTTCCTCAAAATATCTAATAAATTCATCTTTTTCTTAATACATTCAAACTCTCTCTTCATATATTCTTTCTCGCTTTCATATTTATGACATTCCAGTATAACACGTTCTATTGTTTCATATTTTCCACAATAATCACATTTGCCAGTAGTTTGCTTTTGAATTAGGAAAAGTGTATAATTAAGTCCTGTATGCCCAAATCTCAACCTTGTTATCACTCTCTCCTCCTTTCTATTTCATCTTCCATTTCTTCTTTTTCCTACTATCTTCTGAATTTTATAAAACCAACTTCCTGTTTTTTCTTCATCCCACCCTTTTTTTTGTTGCCATTTTTCCATCAGTTTTTCTTTAATAATACTCTTTCCTAATAGGATTTTGAATTGCCCTCTGTGGTGGATCCTTCTGCCTCCACCACAAAGTTTATCTAATTTCATAGTTCTGCAAATGCAGATCAGCTGGAGGTGGAAGCATCCAGGAACAAACCACTTTCCCAAGAACTGAGGGGGGATTTTTTTTATAAGTTTACTTTATTTATTTTGTCACCTTATTCAATGAATTGTGCTAAGATGGAGTTGTTTTATTTATGTTTTAGTTTTGTATGGACTTTTTATTTATTTATTGCTTCTCTATTATATTGTGCCTCCCTTATGTGGAAAGTTTAGGTTATTCCATCCCTATTTAAGCAGCCTATGCTCTTTATCAGGAGGTCAGTTTTTTCTTTGAGTTAGTTCCTCTTCAGTTGACCTCAGTTGAGGTGGGCCAAAATCCATATTATTTATCATTTAAACTATTTTGTATTGCTTTTGAGCCTTTGTTAAAACTATTTTTGACACTATTAAATGAAGGTTGTTTCCCCCCCAATTTTTGAACACCGTTTGCCATTTCATTTTCCTTCTCATTTCCTTCTACTCTAATATGTGCTGGAACCCACACAAATTCAACAATCAAATTTTTTATTCTGAATAATGTATGAAATATTTCTAATAGAATGTGCATCAACTATCTAATTGTATTTTAAACGTAATAATGCAGAGGTTGAATCTGAACAAATTACTGTTTTTAAAATTTTTATATCATCTTGATGTTTTTCCTCATTTTAAAGTGTTCCTTGTTTTTTAATCTTTATTTAAACAAAGTAAGGCAATAGCAACAGTAAAAATCTGTGCAAGGCATAGTAGTTTTAAAGTGTTTCTTTTCTCTTTGCTTCTACTACTGTTCAGAAAGAATGTCCCGCGAGGGCTTCCGTAGCGCCACGCTCTGTAGGTGGAGACCTTCTACGCAAAGGCAAAGAGGTCAAGGGGAGGAGAGAGGGGAACCACGTGTGTCCAGCACCAACACTATGTACAGCTCTGTCCTTCCTCTGTAGACTTGTTTTTGTAAGCCTCTTGTTACCCTTCGCATGCAGCCTCTCGAAACGGTTCGGAGTTTTTCTACCTCAACAATAAACGAGCCGCACAACTGCTGAGAGCCGCACAGGAGGGGGAGGAGGTTTCTGGAACCACAAACACTGACCGCCGACCATGGTGAGCAAGACAGATGACATCCCGGCGTCAGTGCCTGGCTGTAACCCGGTCATGGATGGAGCTGAGGACGGAGCCCTGCAGGCTACCGGAGCCAGTGTGAAGGAGCCCTGCGGCTGCGGTGAGTCCTGCTGCAGACCCACTGAGGTCATCAGTGATGCAGCAACACTCAAACACTTTAGACTATTTAGTCACGTTTGCATGAATCATAATGTTGGTCATTGAATCCCCCTCATTCAACTCCTATTGGTCATTTTATAGCAGCCTGCAGGTGTAAAGGCTACATCTGTTGCCCCCTAACCCTGAAAGACAAGGATGCCATTTCTCTTATTGATACCTAGTGCAATATTTTGTGCTAGTTGTGATTTTCTGTAACCATGTTTGTTTGTCTACTTTACTTTATTGTAGCTTTCAGGTGTTTTCCTCCTCAGACCAGGGCAGTTTCCTGACATCTTCCCTAAATAGCTTATTTTCTGTTTTGCATCTAAAGTATTAAGCGTTAAATATCCAGATTTATAAAAGTAAAAGAAGTTAACACTTTTTTTGAATGACTGAAGTTGATAAAAGTAACTTTAACCATGCTAATCCAAGCAGCAACTCTGTTAGCTTCGGCTAACTAGCTAGCATGCACTTATCCTGCGCTCGTTTACGTCTATTTAAGGCCTAAAAGCCCGAAAATATTGCGTAAAGAATGTTGGGTGCTCTTTTCTCATGCTTGAATCGATAGCGCAGCACATGACGGCGTGAGCCAGCTCACCCTGCCGCACATGTTCGGTAACAGCGTGTCAAGAGGAGCCGACTGAAGGTCACCTTCACTGGAGCCTCTGTTTGCCCACAGGCACTCGGGGAGGACTCGGATATACGCTGGGTCTAGCGCTAAAGGGGCTGTGTGTTTGGCAGTGTAGGAGGCAGGAGTGGTCATTCTCTAAAATGTTGTCTAAACTCTGGTTTTCTGCCGTAACGCCGGTGAGCCGCTCGGCGGCTAGCAGCGACGCTCTGACCGGTGTTGTGTCGCAAAAAGCGCCTCTGCCGCAAAAACAGCCTCCTCACGAGAAGTCAATTTAACATTATCTGTCTGTAGCAGTTGTTACAGATGTTCGCTTTAAACATTGTGTTTAAGTTCTAAAACAATATTTTTAGGTATTTGATCATGATTCTTATGTATATACCAGGTTGAAGATGAAGTTAGTATACGAATTGTATCTGCAGTAAAAAGCTGAAACACTGTTTTGAAGGATTCAGTCTGTATGCAACCTAAACTTTATTTTATTTTTTTTGGTGCATCAATGAACGTTTAAAATGCACAAAATATGTGATTTCAGATTTTTGACTTCTATGCCAATATGTGACAAGTGAATTTTCTCCACTGTGAGATCAATAAAGCTCATCTAATCTAATCTATATTAAGTTTTTTTTAAAGTTAATATTATGTATTTACTTACCACAGGTTTGGCTTTCAATTTATTACCATGGTTAAGTGGATCTGTGAGTTAGTGTTTGATAGTAGGACCACAACAATGGAGCAAACTGATCTATATTTACTCAGTTAACTGACAACGCCAAAATTGTCAACAGCGGCTGAAAGAAGCCCAAAACAAATCGGCTGCAGGTCCTACAGCCTTTGAAGGGTCTCACCTGCAATAGAGAAAAAAAAATAAATCATATTTGGTGGACAGTACAGTTACCTTTTTGTTGTAGGATAAGGCTGCAAATTTATATATATCTTGACAATTTTACCTTGCATTGTTAAAAGTCTGTTAAACTACCTGCAGCTTTTCAAAGCAAATCAGACTTTTTTTTAGAAAGACAATAATGCAATATTATTATAAAACTATTAATAAATAGCTTTTGTTTCATTCAGAAAATGTTAAATGGACTTCTTGTAATTTGCAGCTTTTGTATGAGTCAAACCTGGACTTTTTTACCATGTGTCACATACACAACCAATTTGTGTTTAGTGCTTGTAATGAATCTATTACAAATGAGAAAACTTTGTTTTAAAGAACCTGGAAGCACTTAAGAATAATTCTGTTCACGTTTGACCTTTGATAAAGTCTGTTTAAAACCAGAATTGATTTAAATCCTTAAACAGTGCAACAGCCCTTTAAGTCAAGCAATAATGACAATTCGGACACTAACTTCGGCGCCGTGCGCTGCCGACAGCAGGGGCGCGCTTTACGGCACAACACCTGGAAGCGGAAGCTCGCTGCAGCAGAAGTCATGATGTGCGGCGAGAGGAGGAAAGGTTACTCTAAAAACACACAGGGAGTCGCATAAAAAAAGGTGAGTGAGGAGGAGGTTAAAAGTTGCCTGTACTGTCTGTCGGTGCAGGCAGATGAAACTGATCCCAGATCTGTCAGGTCAGCTGATGAAGTTAAAAAGAGGAGATTGTGCTGCCTGAGGTTCAACATGTGGGGAGGACATTACATTGTTTGTCTGTGCCTGGCTGTCAGGGAGTTGAGTTGCTACTCTGGCATTAAGGGGATCAAGAGATGTTTGTTTTAGTGTCAATCACTGGGCAGCAGATTTATTAGAAAGGAAATCAAATAATATATTATAATTTCTATAGTTTCTTTCATCCTTTATATCTTCTAAAGAATACAAAAGACTGCTTTCTGGTTAAGTCACTGTACAGGTGATCATATATGTCATTAGTCTGCTTCAGACTGCCATGCAGACTGTATTCCTGTGCAGGAGATTGATGGCCTAATCATGTGTCAGAGGAGAGTTGTAACAGGAGCAGCCTCTCAGCTGGTGGCACTGCAGACACGCTAAGGCCAGGGTCACTTTCAGTGGCTTTGAAGAGCTTAATGCTCTGTTGAGTTGAGCATCAGCCTGGTTAATCCAAGAATCACCAACACCGCTGGCGCTGTTGCTCAATGCTGATAGATCTATCATTTCTAGACTTTACCAGACATGGGAATTGGTGTGATCATTTTTATTTATTTATTTTTTTTGTGAGTTTTAACAGCACTAGTGGCTTGGTTTTTGATGGTAAGCTGATAGGAAAGGGGATGTGAGAGAGGGGGAGAGACATGCGGGGAAGAACCACCGACCGGATTGGAACCCGGGTCGCCCGCGTTGAGGACAAAGGCCTCCATACATGGGTCGTGTGCACTAACCGATGCGCCACCTGCACGCCCCTAGAGTGACAATTTTTTTTAATAAAACAAAAGGTTTGATACCATCAGGGCTTAATAGCATCTATTAAAATTTAATTTAGAGTGGAGAAATAAACATGATTAATATCGTACAAAACTACTTCTATGTTTAACTTTTTTTGTGGATCTGCACTTGATAAATTTATGCGGAGTATATTAAGTAAACGTTAACTTGACAGGATATCTGCTCAGGTAGCATGCATTCATTTGGCTGCTTAGCAGAGATACTAATGGGAGTTTGCTGATTAGCTTTAAAACAAGATGAGTGACGCTTCTTTCAGTCAGCTGACCAGCAGTGCACAGCAAGCAACAGAGGTGAAGGAAACCAGCTGGAGGAGATTCCAGATGAACTCCTCAGCTTTGCGAATTCCGTTTAATCTTAAATTATAAAGGGCTGCTTGGAACACAAACTACAATAATCATCAAAAGCATACAAAGTTATGAAACAATTATTTTTATATGAAGTTTTTCACAAAAATTACACTATTATCCAGCATCACTCTAGATACTATGAGATGTATTATTTTGGAGAATTTAACTGTTTTAACAAAGAAAGTTGTAGCTATAAACTTTAAGTCAACTTTTTCACTATTCATTAATCATAAATCCAGCTACTTTTTAAAAAAAAAACATTACATAAACCATTTGTATTCAAATGTTCAGAATGATGCTGCATTTTTGGCCTGAAATGAGTGTAAATATATATATTTTAAGAGCTCTGCAACTCTGGTCCTGTAAACAGGATTACAGAGAGGCCTTGTGTGCTGTTTTTGTTTTCAGGGTTGTCAGGATGGTTTATTTGTCTCTGGCAGCAGCCATGGTCCCGGAGTCAAGGGAACCATTACCGTGGATCAGAAAGAACTAAGGGCGAGCTTGATGTGAATATAATCGGGAAAACGCGATTCAGATGTTGAGTCTGATTTCTACCCGTTTCATGGATTTCTTATGCTGACAGAGATCCCTTCCTCAGCCTTGAACAGTTTAATTGTGTGCAGTCTGCTCAGTGTTCATCTGACAGCGTAACTCCTTTGTTCCAACAAATCTCTCAAATGACTATGTTTTACTAAATGTGCTATCCTGGGGTATGCTTGTCAATCTCTGCATAAATCAGTGTAATTATGGTGTTCTATGCCACAAAGATAAACACATACATCTACTTAGAAATGACTTTTGGTTCTTTGTTTGTATTTAAATGCAAACATTATGCTTTAACTCTGTCGGCACATATTTGATTTCACTTTATGGAACTCCGATATTCAGGACTTTTTTTTCTTTAAAAAGTCCTCATTTTTAGACCCTGTTATCTTGAAGAGGTGAAATAATTACTTTGATTATTTGTGAGTAATCATTTATTAAAATAATCAACTAATTTAATAACCAATAAATGGTAAAGTGGAGCATCCAGACTCTAAAACCTGCCGTTTTCTGAAAAGGGAGCAAATTTAGAGCTGAGATTTAGCAAAAAAATAATATATTTTGTTTTTAAGATGGAAGAACCTTCCTTGTCTTTAAATATGCTCTATTCAGATCCTTAAGTGCCATTGTTTTAGCTTTACTTGTATTAAATTCTGCAAATAAAACAAATCCTTTAAAGCATGCTGTGCCAAATATTAATTAATACAAAATGAATAATTCGCAAAATAATTGCACAGTTGTTTTTTTTTATTTAGTTGCATCTTGGTCTTGTCTTATTGATCAGAGAACTATAAGATTCCCTATTAGAATAAAAAAAATGAATAAAAACAAGAAAAGATGGTTTAATTTGAAGAAACTCAAGCTTATTCGCTTATTGTTATATCTATTTATATATTTCTACTAAAGGCTCTTGTTATACATTAGAAAGAAATTGTGAAATGCTAAGGAATATTTTTCTACAACGTGTGAATTGTGTCAAAAGTTTAGTATATTCTAAGAATGCATTAGAAATGGGTTAATTTGACAGGATTGTTTGATTTGGAACACAAAACTTTAAAACCGGTTCCTTCTTTTCTTGGTAGGCAATCAAAATCACACAGTTTTAGTTCAAATTGATTGCAGTCTTTTGTCGTCTCGAGTTAGCATTTATGTTTTTTATTTTTTGCGAAAATAACAACCCATATGCTTTCTGTTTTGAGTTAGAAAAGCAGCGGGCTGAACACACATCCCTGAGGAACACCTGTGCTTAGTGCGGGGGGATTCTGTTTATTGTGTATAGGTTGTCAATTTTATGTTAAATTCGCTTTCCTTAACCTTGCAACCCTAAACAATTTAATACATTGTTTATCTGCTGTGATGAGACATTAAACACATAAAAACAGATGAAGCTACGGCGTAACATTCGACACCCAGGCCTCAGTTTTCCTCTGACGTATTAACTGGTGTGACCTCTGTTAGCCGTTGTGTTTGTTATTCAGAGCGTGGCTTCCTCCACCTCTTCAGTGCATTCAGAGCCCGGCGGGGTCACTGTCCAGCCACAAAGCGCCCCTCCTTTCTGCCTTCAGCAAGCATGACTCTCTCAAACTTAGCAACAAGCAAGGACACATTAGCTGGCAACACTTGTGTCCCTGTGAGGGAAAGCAGTTGTTTCACAGACACATAGTTGGACTAATCTTCGTTTAATTTAATGCATCTCTGTTTATACTCTGAAGTTTCACTCTTTTTTTGCCTTAAGAGGGAAATTACAGCTTTTTGCTTTACAAGAACCAACATTTCAGCTCAGAAATTAAACAGCATGTGAAAGAAGCAGCTGATCTGAATACTGACAGTTTTTTTTTTCCAAAGCTGCCTAACTGAACTGCTTACAGTGTTTCAACAGACTGATACAAATGAGCTGGTTACTTAGTATTGAATTTCTGATACAATCATTTGCAGAGTCAAAGTGTTTTTGACAAGATTATTGATTAAAAGGGCAAATAACTGTAATTTTTGTAACTTCTAGGACAGTGACAGCGAGTTCATCCAGTGTGAGAGCTGGGGTGGTTTTCTCATTCCCTGCATAGTTACAGCTTTATTTTACTCACATTTAAATAAAGACAAATTTCCACCTGAAGCCAGTTAGAGGGGGAAAAAAGAGCTGAACAAGTCTGGCGACTACAATCCTGCAGAAGTCTTAACTTTGTGTGTAAATAACAGGGTTTTACAGTCATGAGGAGTGAAATATGACTTTGTAAAGAGGAGAGTTTGGAAGAAATTTATATTTCTCTTACTTTGCTTCTTTCCTTATATGCTCCCTTGTGTCCTTCATTCTGTCTCCTTCCCTGTTTTCCTTCCCTAGTTTGCCTCTTTCTTGTCTGCTTTACTTCCTCCAGTCCTTCATTTTTTTCTTTTTGCTTTCTTCTCCCCGTCTTCCTTAGATCCCTCTTTTTTTGTTCTTTATATCTTTCCTTCCTTCATCTTCTTCTGTCATTTAATTCTATCATCTTCTCCTCCCCTCTACCAAACCTTCCTTGTTCCCTACCTCATATCTTCCACTCTTGTGTTGTTTTCTTCTCTCCTTGTAACCTTTATTTTCTTGTTCATGTTGTTCTTGTAATCTCCCATTCTCTCTCCTTTGGGGTTCTTTTAGTTTTGCAGTTTTTATTGATTTTATCCTTAAAACCTTCCTTCTTTAACAAAATTTGTCATTATTTCATTTTGAACTTTAAACAATGAGTATTTAAGGAAGTACACAGGGTACCAGGAGTTCCTGAGAGTAGAGTTTAAAAAAGGAGGAAAGATTCACTGGGCAAGTGTGGGAAAAACAATTAAAATTCCTTCTAATGTGGGCTCTGACATGCTTTATTTCTTTAAACGCAGCTCACGGTGCAGATACAGCCATGGTGAACGGTGACGCTGCCCTCCCGGAGGAGGGCGAGCTGAAGCAGGAAGGGAACTGCGAGGCAGATGGTGGCGAGGACTCCAACGAACAGGAAGTGATAGTGATCCAGGACACGGGCTTCACCGTTAAGATCCAGGCGCCTGGAACGGAGCCGTTCGACCTGCAGGTACAGATTAGCTCCTCGGCTGGATAAACCGCCAGCCGTTGTATGTTAGGCAACAAAGAGCGGCTTATTAAGGGAGTCTGAGCATTCTAAGTAAGTGATTAAACTTGCTAACACACGTAACTTCTAATCTCTTTTGTTTTCCAGGTGTCCCCACAGGAAATGGTGCAGGAAATCCACCAGGTGTTGATGGACCGCGAGGATACCTGCCACCGCACCTGTTTCTCCCTGCAGCTGGACGGAAACGTGCTGGACAACTTCGCCGAGCTCAAGTCCATCGAGGGTCTGCAGGAGGGCTCTCTGCTCAAAGTGGTGGAAGGTCATCTCTCATCCCTTCATCTGCTCCATGCATGACGTTTTCACTCAGTGTCAAAACATGGATGTTTCCAATAAATCCAAATTAGATCGTAGCCACGGTTTAAATAGCTTAAAACGTTTAGAAGTTTGTTTTGGAAAAGTGACTTTGAAACTGGAAGAGAGACGCCTGCGTTTTGTCCTTTCCTCCTACAGAGCCTTACACCGTACGAGAGGCCCGGATTCATGTGCGTCACATCAGAGACCTGCTGAAAAGCCTGGACCCCTCAGACGCCTACAATGGCGTGGACTGCAACTCCCTGTCCTTCCTCAGCATCTTTACTGATGGAGACCTTGGAGGTATCAATCATTAGGGATCTCCTAATAAAACTTTTTCACTTCTGATACAATATCTGCACGAATCAAGCTTCCTTTTACTAATTTTGTTTCTTTGAAATGTTAGGAAAACCGGGTAAGAGAAAATCTTAATCATTCTTTAATAACCAGTGGGTTACAGAAGTGAAGTTTTTCCATCAGCATGTCTTTAGATGCAGGGCCATTTATTCCGATGTTGTAGTTTTGACTCATCGGGACCAGATGGGAACTTCCCTATCCGGAATTATTGTTAGGCTCAACTTTCTAGCCCTCAGAAGGCTGCAGAAGCTTCAGAAGCTCCTGTTTGGTTGGGGTCTCAACAGTTTTATATGTGGCAGATTAAAGGGGCGGGTTCCTCTCCACTGTTGCCATATGCTTGATCAGGATGATATATCACTCCAAAGTCAGTGACTGTATGATTTTAATTATGCTCAATTAACCAAATATTGAGTTTGACTGGTTTATTGTGATGATTTTGTTCTTTTATAAACAGCAGAAAGGATAAAACTGTATTCCTGCTAACATTTGGAATATTTTCCTTCTCGCCGTGTCTTCAGATAGCGGAAAGAGAAAGAAGAAAGGCACCGAGCTGGAGCAGATCGACTGCACCCCTCCAGAACATATCTTACCCGGCAGCAAAGAGCGCCCCCTGGTGCCCCTCCAGCCACAGAACAAAGACTGGAAGGTTTGAAATGACCGATGCTTGGCCTCCCCTCTTTAGGAGGTGACATAACCTGAGGGTGCGTCTCAGCGGGCAAAAGTGAAGTTCATGTTTGTGTGACGTCATCAACAGCCCATGCAATGCCTGAAGGTCCTGACCATGAGTGGCTGGAACCCTCCGCCTGGAAACAGGAAGATGCACGGCGACCTCATGTACCTCTACATTGTGACAGTGGAGGAGCGCCATGTGAGCGTCACGGCCTCAACACGAGGCTTCTACCTCAATCAGTGAGTCTGCATCTCGGGTTTCTTAAAGGAACTGTAGGGATTTAATCAGTGGAAAAGTGTCTGATTCTTTATATTAAACAAGCAAAGGTGTTTGAAACCCCCACTTAGGTGGGTAGATGATATGAAATATATAATTTTTTGTAAAGATATGTTTAAAGAAAGATCTGATTTAGGCGTCAAAACAAAATGGAGACTGGCTATAAGAAATGACAAAGCAGCGACGCCTCTTCATCATCCAGATTTCTTTAGAAAGAGACAAACTTCATAAAACCTGATTATTTATGGTTTCAAGTGGATTTGGATATGGCTCAGTTCTCTTTCATTGGTTTGTGCTTTAAGCCAGGTTGATCCCCTGATTCTTGACTTATTTGATGATGGCGGTTGTTGTTTGCTTTGCAGATCCACAACCTACACCTTCAACCCAAAGCCAGCCAACCCCAGCTTCCTGAGCCACTCTCTGGTGGAGCTGCTGAGCCAGATCAGCCCGGCCTTCAAGAAGAACTTCACCTCGTTGCAAAAGAAAAGGTTTCAGCATCTTTTTATTCAAACATTTAGCACTTTGAACATGGAAGTAACGGTAAAGCAGCATTAGTTAACAGTGATTTAATAAATGATTCTAAAGAAACTAATTGCTGCTTAGAAAAAGGAAGGGTGTATTCTCTTTTATAAGATATGATTTGATGAATAAAAGAAAAAAAAAGATTTGATTTCCAAACTAATTGCAAAAAAATAGACCTACAAATAAGTTTAATATCATTCTGTTGTTAAAATTAAATTCATTTTTTCTTTACGAAACCTGCCAAAGCTTCTTAGACCGCTATTTGCTATTATAATATATTTAAAACCATTATCTGGCTTATTTATTTATCCACAATTAAGAGCCATTGTGCAAAGAACCGCTTGCAGCTCTGCAGGTTGCAGACTCTATGCCATGCAAACTGCTCAAACATGTCTTTCTCATGTTGTTTTAAATAAAAAATAACAATTTATTAGTTTCCCACATCTTTTTTATGCTTTATTCCAAATGTCTTTGTGCGTCTGGATGTGGTGTCCTCGCTGTATTACTAGTAGAACAAGATAACCTCTGCTGGTTATTCTGTCAATAACTGGGAATATTTCTATTTCAGAAACAGTCTGCTTGTTGACATTAGACTTATGATGCGAAGCTTTGTGATGGGTTTAACCATGTTATAAAGAAACAAACAGCTGACAGTTTCCCCCCCCTGCAGAGTCCAGAGACACCCGTTTGAGAGGATAGCCACTCCTTTCCAGGTGTACAGCTGGACGGCTCCACAGGTGGACCATGCAATGGACTGCGTCAGAGCTGAGGATGCCTACACTTCCCGCCTTGGTTATGAGGAGCACATACCAGGACAGGTGGGTGGAGCTTAATCCAGCTCTGGATCTCGATTGATAAGGGCCTGCGTGGTGAAAATGTGTTTATCTGTCCCTGAAGACCAGAGACTGGAACGAGGAGCTGCAGACCACCAGGGAGCTGCCACGGAAGAACTTACCTGAGAGACTGCTGCGTGAGAGAGCCATTTTCAAGGTGCTGCAGAGCTCCTCGGGTCTTTAATGCAAACGTGGATTTTATTTTGTTTCATTGCGCGTCTTTTTTCCTCACATAGGTCCACAGCGACTTTGCAGCTGCTGCCACTCGTGGCGCCATGGCAGTGATTGACGGTAACGTGATGGCGATTAACCCGGGCGAGGAAACTCGCATGCAAATGTTCATCTGGAACAACATTTTCTTCAGTCTGGGCTTCGACGTGCGGGACCACTATCGTGAGCTAGGCGGCGACGCCGCTGCCCATGCCGCACCGACGAATGACTTAAACGGAGTGCGAGCTTACGGGGCGGTGGATGTGGAGGGCCTCTACACCCTGGGGACAGTGGTGGTGGACTACAGAGGCTACAGAGTAACGGCACAGTCCATCATCCCAGGGATCCTGGAGCGAGAGCAGGAGCAGAGCGTCATCTACGGCTCCATTGATTTCGGGAAGACTGTGGTGTCTCACGGCAAATATCTGGAGCTGCTTGATAAAACCAGCCGGCCTTTAAAGGTCAGTAGCTGCTGATTTTTTTTTTTTATTTTGGTTTACATAGAAAAAGAATCCAGGTTTGTCTCTGTATTTTTTGTATATTAAAGTATTTTTTCTCTTTAGGGCATTTTCAGGCTCAAAAAAATCAGTAAAATAACAGTAGCTGCACTTTCAAACATCTTAAACACATCAGTAGACTTTTTGCAAGAATATGCATCAATATAAAGATACAGGAACACCCCATTGATTTTGAAAGAACGCCATTTTTTTCTTTTTGCCCTGTGAAATACTGGTTCTGTTTGTAGGCAAGGCAAATTTATTTGTATAGCACAATTCAGTACAAAGACAATGTAAAGTGCTTTACATAATTAAAATATAGGAAAATAACACAGAATCAAAGCAAGGCATCCTCAAAGTCGGTCCTCTAGGGCCGCTGTCCTGCAGGTTTTAAAGGTTTCCTTGCTCCTGCACAGTAGGGAAAGTAAGGAAACCTCTAAAACCTGCAGGACAGCGGCCCTCGAGGACTGACTTTGGGGATGCATGTTTGACAGCGTATGTAGAGGTTATCACTACGATTTATGCAGTCCTTCTGTCTCATTCTGCTTATTCCAGCTAACTAGCAGCCACTTCATTGTTGGGTCATGCTACCAACAAATAGAAGCAGCAGTTTTAAAAAAGCTCAAGTTTTTTGAGGGTTTTTTTCGGTCATATTGAGATTGAATTTTCTTTTGTTGCAAAAATGCAATGGAAAAACGTTTTACTCATCACACGAGTCACATGATCTACAGCTGGACCTTACTGCCTGCTAGAGAGCCAAAGAAGAGCAGAAATAGTTGGAGGATGATGGCGCCCATTGTAGCCCAAGCTTAGATATAGAGATGTCATGTGTTTACATCCGAGTTATCACGGGAACAAACTTATTCACATAAGATTTTAATTGTTATCTAATGGAAACACCACAGTTGCTGCGTTTTCAAAATTATCAGTAACATCGACATAGTTTTGAGCACATTTGTAATGGAGATGCAGCTATGGCTCTAGCTGGCTATCAGTCACTCTCTATCATCTTACCTTCCTGTAAAAAGGGACCCTGTACCTGAAAGCTTTGCTGTCTCCAGATGTTTCTGTATATTTTTTTGTTTACTCAGACCGTTTGAAACTTATTCTGTTTTGTTAATTCCCCCTAATCTATAATCTTCACATTGGGATCAGTGGATCATCAACATGTCGTCTTTTTCCTGTGAATTTCAGGTCCAGCGACACAAGGTGCTGAATGAGAAAGAGGAATCGGTGGAGTTGTGCTCCTCCGTGGAATGTAAAGGCATCATCGGTAATGATGGCAGACACTACATCCTGGACCTACTTCGAACCTTTCCCCCTGACTTGAACTTCCTGCCTGTGGACGGCGAGGAGCTGTCTGCAGAGAGCCAGCGCCAAGGCTACCCCCGGCAGCACCGCCATCGCTTGGCATGTCTTCGCCAAGAGCTCATTGAGGCCTTCGTCGAGCACAGGTGAACGTTTGGCTGCTTTTCATAGAGGTTTTGTGTTTCAAATGCCAGGATTTATAATAAAACCTTATTTTTTTTTATCCCTGTTCTTCTTCAGATATCTTCTTTTCATGAAGATGGCAGCTCTGCAGCTAATGCAGCAAAAGGCAAACAAAGACTCTAACAAAACAGACATGCCTGCAATTAGCGAGACCTCAGAGGCGCAGGCAGATGTCAGTGTTGATGCCACACAGACTGCTGCTGCAGAAGGAGCCACTGATAACAATGGCCCCACAGAAAACAGCAACCCCACCACCTCGCAAATTTCAACTGAAAGTGAAGAAAACTCCTCAAAGCCCACAACAAACGGGCCTGTAGACCCTGCAGGCACCCGAAACAACGAATGCAAAAGCCCACTGGAGGGTAAGGAGCTTGAGGAAAGTATTCCAGGATTAGCTCAGGCCAAAGAGCTGGCGGAGACCTTAGTATCCGAAGATGGATCTGGTATTGGTACGTCCAGAAAAAAAAAAAGCTGAAGCTGCGACAAAGGAGGGAGAGCTACTCTGGTGGATGACTGCATAGATTAAAAAGCATGAAATCCAAGAGAGGTGGTACTGGGTCAGATGATCACTTTGGGATGATTTTTAATAGTTTACTGTTGTTACCACAGCAACAGAAGAGTCATAGTAAAATCAGCCTTAATGTCCACCTGAGCAGCTCTCCCTGCTAATTGTCTGCCTGCTCTGAGGGGGAGTCGGGCTGCTAATACACCCGCCTCCAGCATGTGATCCCTTTGCAGTAGGATTTGATCCTAATACACTAAATAATCAGCGGTTGTGGTGTTTAACCCCAATAAATCTTGTTTAACCTGAACCTGACCTAATCAGTAGTGCAGATCATGGTGGTGGTCCTTGCCTAAAGCTGTGTCTACATTAAGCTGCAGTACAAGGTTCACAACACAATTTACTTCAATCTGGATTTTCGTTAAAGGACGAAAAGTCAGATTAAAGCAGGTGTTTTAGCTTTAATGTAGACACAGCATTTCAGATTATTAACCTTTGTCATGGTTTATTAACGGATGTTAATATGCTGCCCAAACAGATCCCAAAAGCAGAGAGGTGGTCCTCAACGCCTGCAAGGCCGTGGGCTCCATCAGCAACACTTCATTTGATATCCGCTTCAACCCCGACATCTTCTCCCCAGGTGAGCACAAAAACAAACATTTTCAGAATAGCTGGGGGGGTGACTCCTCGCCAAATAATCTAACCTGCTGAGATGACGCATCATTAAACAAGTTGTACCAGTTCTTAGTGTGTGAATGCCACGACTTTAATCCTGTATCCAAAGTACCAAGTAGGAGTTTGGTTGGTTTTATTTATGCTCTTAGATTGACATATCCAATTAGAATCAACTGCAAAAGGAACCAAGATGTCATCGTTTGGGGTGTCGAACTCATTTTTTATTTATCACTGTCAGAACAAGTTGGAAACATGCTTACGATGAGAACCACAAACGGTTAAATTATTGTCCACCCGTAGCTTAGGTGTAAAAAGGATCTTTGTTAGAAATAAGCCACTGGTTGTCGACCAAACACATTAACTTGAGAAACTTTGTCACTATTTGTTTTTTTTTTTTTTTTTGCGTGCATCCCTCGATAGACTTCAGATTTCCTTGAATTTGGGCGATCAGCTGATACTTGCATGTGCAACTGATCTGAACTGATGATCTTTCTCTGCAAAGGTCAGAACCTTTGCCACGGTCCATGCTCTAACCTTTTCATTATTATCTGAGAAACTTGTGCACAGTTGAAACTGGTTTGGAGCTTTTCACCAATACTGTTTAGTGTATGTCAGTAAAATAAAACTGGTACATTGAAGGCATGCTGTGATCTCATAATAGCTGACAGTGTCAAAATGGAAAATAAAATGGGTAGATTCCAAAATTGGACTCGGCAGGTCAAGCATTTTAAAGATTGGTGATCGGCCTCAAGACTAATCAGTTCGAAGCTTATACCACTTTCATACTGGCCGAAAAACGACGGGGGAAAAAAAGCAAAACAGGAACAATCTGCTTATGGTGGCAGAGGGAACAGCTCACTGAAATGTGACTGCTCTGGTCAAACAACTCAGCAAGCGACACGAGTTAAAATCGCTTTGGTTCTGATCAGCATGCAGTGTGAACACAGGACCCCGGTTTGACACGCTAAATTATGTGATGACTTTGAGCGCAACGTTTGGACGTCACAACTTCACGCTGGTCGCATGCTAAATAACAAGCCCAAACAACTCTGCTTGTATTAGAGAAACATGGTCCACCACTGGCAAGATGGAGAGATTTGTGAGCTCCTTATGATCGGAGCATCTCTAATTAAAAAAAACAACTAATTGCTTTACTCAAAATGCCTCTGTTGGTTCTTTGAAAGAACAAAAAAATAAAAATAATAACTATTTAAGATGTCCAATTTTAAATGGTCACAATTTAGCTTTTAGTCCCAGAGTTTCCTTTTCATCTTAATCCTTTATAGCGCACTCAGTGAAATACATTAAATATCCAAATTTTAACCTAAGAGTGTTATTGGAGGACAGGACAAGGCCGTATTACTTGTGTAACATTTAAAAAATATGTATAAAAAAAAAATTTATTTATAAAATTTATTTATTATAAAATCAAGCTAATTATAATAAACGGTCACTTTCCTCGATATGTTACATAAAATAACAAAAGTTCTATAAGAAATTCATGAAAAGCATTTTTTTTCTTTGTCTGAACATAACTTAAGATCATTATTTCTGATACAGGCACTTACATTTTTACCTTTTACCATAGCTTATTAATTTTTTATTTAACATATTACGTTTATATTGAAACCTTTAAATTTTCAATAAGCTTTTTAACTTTTTTCAACTTTAGTTACAGAAGGTAACATATCATCCAAGGACTCATTTAATTGGTCGATGCCAAAATGACGTGTTCTGCCATGTAGCAGGAGCTTTGCTGAATAGCTGCATATAGATATTGTGCTTCTAGACCTCAATGACAGGTTTGGGGGGTGGGCTCCATTTTTAAGGGTTATGCAAGTGAACAAAAAAATGATAACTTGCCCTATAAACAGTGAAGATTTAAATATCTGAAAAGATCTGATTTCAATAGTTTGCTAAACTCTGCTTAGTAGATGAATAGATGTTAGGAATATTAGTATCTCTTTAAGTCTACTTTTCATATATTGATGTAGGTTTTAAATCCACATAATGTTTTTGTACAGGTCTATAGTTTAACCTGTGGAAATTAAAAATAGTTGTTTGGCTTAAACAGGAGTATTAACTTGCAGACAGCAGTTTGTGTAAAGCCTGGATTACAGATGAATGCTCCAAGGATTTTTCTACATTATTGCAGAAGAGGATTCTATGATTTTTAAAAGTATCCTTTTTCTTCTAATTAGTAAAAACTAAATCAGAAAAGTCCCATTTTAAGCTTAACCAGACGTGTTTCTGTGATTTTCTTACCCTTCTGTTAAACAAAGAAAACTAAAACACTAACATGTTTGTGTTTCTGACGATGGATCAGGTGTGCGTTTTCCGGAGGACGCCGTAGAAGACGTCCAGAAGCAGAAGCAGCTCCTTAAAGACGCCGCTGCTTTCCTGGTCACCTGTCAGGTCCCGTCTTTGGTCAGTGGTTTTTATGGTTTCCTGCACAGTCAGTCTAATTCAGTCAATTAGACAGGAAGGTGTTTGAGCAATAAAAAGGCACATTTCACAGCCTGTTTGGCCTTTTAACTGGGTCCACTTTAGATGGAACGGGAAATATGAATAGTTAGCCATTTTAGTTTATTTTTAATCTGTAAAAACAGGCCAAATGAATCATTGCTATAAAATGTGGTACAAAGAATCTGTGTTTTGTTTGGGATTTTAGCCTTTTTTTGATCATTTTTAGATGGAAGATTTTGAAGTTGTTCCAGATCTCTGAAACAGTCTACAACAGGGAAATAACCCGTTGTCCCCCTGCATGACTTTATCAGATAATAAAAGCCACTTTATTAAATGCATTCTTTTCACAAAGCCTGAATGTTGTAACACTGTCAGATAAATCTGGCAATAAATAATGTGTTAGAACCTCAATTGGAGCTGCATTTGTGTACAAACCAGGTTAAGGACTGTCTGGACCACAGCACACTGCCCATGGATGGAGCCACGCTAACCGAGGCCTTGCACCAGAGAGGCATTAATGTTCGCTATTTAGGGACGGTTCTAGAGTTTGTGGACAAGACCCCAGCCAAAGCCCAACTGGAGCACTTCTACGTGAGTCTGATTCCACATCTATGAAGGCTTCCAGCTCACATGTAGCCGGTCTAGAGAACATCTGGTTAACGTGGTATTTTATTCCTTTATATTACAGAGAATAGGAATCATTGAGCTGATCACAAGGTGTGCAAAACATATCTTCAGGACATACCTCCAGGTTTGTAACTTTTTAATGCTTCCTTTGCTTTCAGTGCTCAGAGAGAGAAGCTTTTTTATTTGCTCTGGATTTAATGCTGCTGAAAAGTTTTCCTGATTTAACAAATAATGCATTTTGTATATTAGATAATGTTGTCCCAAAATATTAGCCGGCTGATGATCTATCTGAATAGTGAGAAGGTTGTATTGGTAAAAAAGGCAAATTGTTTGTTTGGTTTTTTTTTTTGCATGTTTTTAATGTCAGATTTCTGGGATGAAGGCAAATTAAATTAACACCTGAGACGTCCTTAAAACATTTTTAATTGTGATATATTTGTTATTAATTTTTCTTTTATTTGCACTTATTTAAATAGCAATTTTTATTCTACTCATGTTAATAAAAAAATTTTTTAACCCCTTTATTTATTGATATCAAAACACACACTCACACACACATTCTTACAAGAGGCAGACAGAAATGTCCAGCTATTCTTGTAGATTAAAGCCACCCATTAAGGGTCAAAGGTCAGACCTGACGGCAGCAAACGGATCATCTTTGATTGATTTGTTTTTTCCTCATGCAGGGTGTGGAGCTGTCAGCTCTGTCTGCTGCCGTCAGCCATTTCCTGAACTGCTTCCTGAGCTCCTTCCCTGACGCCGTCGCACACCTGCCGCCGGACGAGCTGGTGTCGCGTCGCAAAAACCGCAAGCGTCGCAACAGGGTCCCCGGCAGCGGCGACAACACGGCGTGGGCCAGCCTGACGCCCAGCGAGCTGTGGAAGAACATCGCCGCTGAAGCTCAGAGCTATTATCACTTTAAAATCCACTGGTGAGTCTCGTCTGACCGGCCGGCAGCAGGGACTTGGCGTTCTGCTCACTGACTTGTTTCTGATACGGTTTCCCTGTAGTGAGAGCGTCGATCAGGTTGTGGAGAAATACGGCCTTCAGAAAATCACCCTGCTCAGAGAAATTTCAGTCAAAACTGGCATCCAGGTATCATTCATGCTTTTTTTCAGTGTTTTCTCTTCATCTTGTTGTCTAAATGTTGTCTTTCCTTAGTCTGGTATTTCTTGCCTACTGTAGCAATGCCAGAATAGATCAGCTTGATTTATTTTATTTTTTAATCAAAGAATGCTCTATGTTCGATTTCTAGATCCTGCTGAAGGAGTATAACTTCGACAGCCGTCACAAGCCTGCTTTCACGGAGGAAGACATCCTGAATATTTTCCCCGTGGTGAAGCACGTGAACCCCAAAGCCTCAGACGCCTTCCACTTCTTCCAGAGCGGCCAAGCTAAAGTACAGCAAGGTGACACCCTTCAGATAAAGTGGCAAAATAAAATAGATATCCCCTCTGGTTGAAGGTTCTGTATTTAACGGCTGATTTTCCTCCTTTCCAGGTTTCCTGAAGGAGGGCTGCGAACTGATCAACGAGGCTCTGAACCTCTTTAATAATGTTTACGGAGCCATGCATGTGGAGATCTGTGCCTGTCTGCGCCTGCTGGCCCGCCTTAATTACATCATGGGAGACCACCCTGAGGTCAGCATTAAAAAAAGAGACAGCTTCTGCTTACATTTGTAATCATTTCAGGTCGTTAACCAATCTGGTTTGTTCACCTTCAGGCTCTCAGCAACCAGCAAAAGGCCGTCCTCATGAGTGAAAGAGTCCTCGGCATCGAGCACCCCAACACCATCCAAGAATACGTGAGTTCGCTGACATTTGGCCCTTTGTTTTAGCCGCACCAAATGCGTTCAGATTATGAACCGGATGTTTGTTTTCCTCTCCACCAGATGCACTTGGCTCTGTACTGCTTCGCCAACGGCCAGCTTTCCACCGCCCTGAAGCTGCTCTATCGGGCTCGTTACCTCATGCTGATGGTCTGCGGAGAGGACCATCCAGAGATGGCACTGATAGATGTAAGTCTGCTACATGTTTCCAGAGTCAGATTTAATCATATCCCTAAACCCTTTATAGACAGACTTCTTCATATTTTCTGGGTTTTTATTTGATTGAGCAACACAAAGTAGATCATGAATGTAAAGTAGAGGATGAAGGCAAGGATTTTAGTTTAAATACATGCATTAGAGTGTTTTATTATAAAACAATATCCAAAATCTCACCTCTGTTATCCAAAGAATCAAAGGGCCTCTTTTTAGTTTGTTACAACCTTATGATAAATAATGGACCTCTAGTCTGGACCACGAGCTGCTACAAGCAGAACTGATTGAAAAATCAACAGCATTCGTGTTGTAGTTACAGTTTAATGCTGTAGGAATGTTTGTCAGAGCTGTGGGGAAATATGGGGAAATTTAAGAGAAAGGAAAAAATGCAGTTGGAAAAGGCTTGAGGTTGAGGCAGAGGTTCACCTTCCAGCAGGAAAAGGAAACTAAACTTCATTCCAAGGCTACCATATAAATAGGTCAGATGAGAGCATCCGTGCACGAGAATGGCCTAGTCAAAGTCCAGACTGAAACCATTTCGAGGAAGACCTATTATTCCAAGCTTTCTCCATCTTATCTGAACTTGAGTGGTTTTGCCCAGAATAATGAGGACCTTTAGATGTTATCAGACTAAATAAACAGTTTTCCACTCTGTTTAAAGCAAGAAGTGGTTCTAATGAGCCATATCTCAAGGCTCACTACACTGTGCAGTTTTTACTTGTTAAAATAAAAAAAAATGAATATTTCTTCCCCCTGAATATTCTGTAATACTTGTGTTTTATCAAATTAAAAATGAAAATAAAAAAACATTAAAGTTTATTGTATCTTGACTAAATGAGAAAATATTTGAATTGTAATCCCATTGTCCGCTTCCTTGTTGCTGGTTTGCGCAGAGTAATATCGGGCTTGTGCTCCATGGAGTGATGGAGTACGATTTATCGCTGAGGTTTCTGGAGAACGCCTTGACCATCAACACAAAGTATCATGGAGCCCGTTCCCTCAAAGTTGCTCTCAGGTGAGCGCAGACCTCTCCTCATGGTCCATTTAGTGAAACAGATAAATAACTTCTTACCTCATGTTTTTCAGCCACCATCTGGTTGCAAGGGTGTATGAGAGTAAGGCAGAGTTTCGCTCCGCTTTGCAGCACGAGAAGGAGGGTTACACTATTTACAAGAACCAGGTAGGCCCTGTAGAGGTGGCGGCATGCTGCTCTTTGTAACACTTTCTTAAAGAAACGTCTTAATTCTAATTTATCCTCCTCCCAGATGGGCGAAGCTCACGAGAAAACCAAGGAGAGCTCAGAGTATCTGAAGTATCTAACCCAGCAGGCCGTAGCTCTGCAGAGAACCATGAATGAGATCTACAAGAACGGCTCCAACGCCAGCATCATGCCACTCAAGGTGACTGCACTGACTCCGACACGTTCTCTCTGTGGCTCCAGAAACGCTTTCTAACGGAGGAATTCCTTTGTTTTCTAGTTCACTGCTCCCAGCATGGCCAGCATCCTGGAACAGCTCAACATCATCAATGGCATCATCTTTATTCCACTTAGGTAAAGTCAGAAAGAAATAAAACATTGAAATTAATGAAAACCCACAGTTTTCTAAGCAAAGCTTTGAATATTTCTTCTTTCTATACAAAATCTTTTTTTAGAGAACATTTAAAATGTTGGGAAATAAAAAAAAAAAAAATACTATCTCTATTGATGTCGCTGTACTTTAAGGTTACTCTTTGCTGTAATTAACAGGAAGTAAGGTTAGAAAGTTGGCGATAACCACAGACCAGGGATGGTCCGAGGGTTTAATGAATCTGCTGCAATACGGCAGGTTTTACTCTCTTCACCGTGCTAGCTAGTATTAGTGATGGTACATGCCACCTGGAGATGCAGAGTTCAGGAAGCCCGCAGCAGAAACGGCTGATCAGTTTTGAGGTAAATGTCCGCAAAGTTAAGGCTTGTTCGACAGATTGTTTCCATCTCCTCTTTTTACTTGTTTATTCTTTTTCGAAATGGTCAGAAAAGTACCTCAAATGAGCATAAAATATATATATTTTTTAATTTACTTAAGTCAAATCAAATTTTTGCTGTTTCCATCGAGGTCTTCTGATGTGATGCTTCCAAATACAGTTAAAAACGAAACGATAGAAACACGTTTACTGAGAACAGCAGTAGCAGGTACAGTCAGTTGAAGTCTGTTCTTTTTCTGCTATGGTAAAAAAACGCTTTCTAAGCAACTTTTACACGATTTAAAAGTCATGCTTTTGGAAAAGTGAACTTTTAAGAAATGGACTTCAGAAAATGAAAAGGCGCAGCCGACAATGGCTTTATGTGATTTGAGTCAACAATTAAAAAACAAATAAAATCTGGAAAGAGTTTATAATTGAGGACTCTTAAAGGAATAGTACACCCAAAACATGATTAGCCTTCATTTT